TGAGATGTGTGCCACTCTGAGGACACAGGTCACATCTGTAGCCCTAAGGACGATGGCACTGCCATTGCCATTTAAACATCAGTGGTTGGTTACAGACTGGAGGAAGGATTTAGCATTGATAACGTCTGCCTTGAATCTCATGAGGATGAACAGAAGGAACAGCACACAGGAAGCAATACTGTTGTTGGATTTACTCAGCCTTCAAGCAGTTACCAAAACTGTGACCACTAAATGAGTGTTGGATGATCAGCATGAGATGAGTTTGGTGTTTGAATTCAGTTTCCAGTGGGAAGTTTGTATTTCACAAAACATGCAGCTAATTAGCACCTGCTGGGCTGCCTGTTTGGCAACTGGGAAGACGCCAAAGATTAAATGCTTTTCAAAGATGAATTCACCTTTTAATTTGTACTGGTTAGGGGAGGAGAGTGACAGGGAAGAAGTGCATGATTTTGCCTGAGCTGTTCTGTTCTGCCTGCTTGGTATGTCTGAAGGATTCCATGGAAAGTGCAGGGTAGCCACGGTACAGTGCTGCCAGCTCTCCTTGTCTGGAATAAACATGATGTAGAGCTGCTGGATCTGCAGGAGCCACCTCTGTGCCAGGTAATAAATATGTTCTGCTTGGTCTGAGCTGACCTTCCATGGAGCCCTGCAGGTCTCTGTACTGTGCTCTCCATGGTTCACATGTCTGGGCGTATGGTGCTGACATGTCTGCTGGGCTGATTTGCTGGGGTTCTGCATTGAACAAAGGTAGCAGAAACTTTTGCAGACTGGAAATGGCCCTCAAAGAATGAGAGACCTGTTTGAATGAGGATGTGTCTAGGCTAATGAATTCTGTTACACCTGAGCTGGCTGTGTGCCTGGGCCCTGGAAGCAAGAGGTGAGTGCACGCATACCTGTTGCTTGTAACAGGAAGGATTTTTTTCCTTTGTAGTACTCAGAACATGTATACTCAGGCCCCTCCTGGCCCCTCCTTGGTGCACAGGTATACAAGGCAGAGCACACCCACCATTATGTCTGTTCTTCTTGCTTGCCAAGCAAGAGAGTTGTGCCTGGGCTGACATTGTGTCTGCATCTATGCCAGGGTTTCTTCACAACATGGGTAAACCATCTGGGGGTAAAAAAAAAAAAAACAAAACAAATTGTTTGCATAGCTGCTGTCCTAATAAAACAATCTTTCTTTTAGGCATGGGTTCACGTTAAAGCAGGGGCCATACACGGCTGGTGCTTTTAAAAGACAGAAAATAAAATCAATGGATGAATGGAGAAAAGCTGACAGTTATCAGGAACAACATGTGCTCCCCTGAAACACTGATCTTGGGTTGCGCTGTTCTTTGTTGTGTTCAATGCAAATAGGTCCCAGTCACGAGCTCTATCCTTCTCCCTTAAGAATATGCCTACCCCAGAGAAACTCGCTGCCCTGGGTGCCAGCTGTTTGCACTGCTGTCCCACCCCAGTGGAGGGGTTCAGTGGCCAAGGTGCAGTATACCAGGTCTGCTGCTGATCAGATTTGCTACTAAATCAGGTAATGGGTTAGTATAAGTTGTTTAGAAGCTTAGCATCAGTGTGTACAACATCAAAACTGGTTTGGTAGCCTTTCTGCCACTGTTCTATAGAACAGTTGGGTTTTTTTAATCTGCCCAGAAGCTACTGCATGAAGATAGAACATGTCAGTTACTGCCTAGATCATGGGGATACCAATCATGTGCAAACACTGGTGCAGTCTCAGTGACTTAGGTCTTGAAGACTTGGCCTTTCTTTTATCCTTGCAAAACTTGCTTTCAGTCCTTGACAGATCAGTATTCAGCCAGTGGCTGTGCACACATCCTGTTACTTGAAACAGGAAGGAATTTTAATTTGTAGCATTTGTAATGTACTTGCACGCATTGTTACCACTCAGTACATAGGTACGTAAGGCATATGGCAGACTGTTCATCACCCTTTCAGTTTCTCACTCAAGAAAGCATGCTCCATCAGTTAACTTCACATAATGCACCTGTTTTCCTGGTGCCTCATTTTCTTTAGTCATAGTCTGGAGATTAACACTGCTTTGTGTTCTGCATGTCACTATCTGTGATGGTAATCTTTGCATTGGTGATTTCAACTGACCCTCCATGTTGACCTAGCTGTGGTAAAAGATGCTGCCAGTGGTTCCTTATTGTCTTGTAGAATGTTGCAGATCAGCCACAGCAGCATCTGCTGATCCTTCAGACCTTGCCCCAAGGACATACAGAAGCTCCTTCTGAAGGAGGTCTTGTCCTTCCATCCTGGTGCCAGTGAGCAAGGTGCCAAAAGTAAGTGCCCACCTCAGCAGTCGTATAGTGTCCATTTTCTATTTGAGTTCCAGCTCAGTCAAAAAGATCCAGTGCCTCTCACCTGCCCAAACCATTAGCTTTTCCTGTTACTGCTTGTGACTCGTGCTTCTGGCTTCTGATGAGGGTGCTAGACTAGATGAGCTGGCACTGAGGGCATCTCTGCCACCTTCATTCCTGCTGTGAGTCAACACTTGGCAAAATGCTTTGTTTTCTATTGAGCTTCATTCAGCAGTTTTTGAATGATAACACTGTGATTTGTGCAACTTCCAAGCCTTGGTGATGCCATGTGGGTTTGGACTGTGGGACTGCTGAAGAGATAGCTCCCATTTGGCCATTCATAATCTGTACTAAGTGTCCTATATTCTTGTTTGTTTTGTTTGTGTTTTCTCTCTGGATGGATGATGGGAATGGGGACCATCCCCATCCCAAATGCTGCCCTATCCACTCCTAAAGTAGTCACATTTCATTCCTGAGCATTCACTATAAAGGCATTACTAATTAGCTGGCAAGATGCGCAAAACAGAATTGGTTGAGTGTGTTAGTCAACTGTATTCCTTTAATGTGCTTTTTAATATAGTATAACGGATGGCTTCCAAGTAGTGTGGTGTGTTAACTTGTGGGTGGTAGAACAAACCTGGCATAAGAAAAGCTTGGTAGATGGGAGGTTTCAGCCTTTGACATGCAATCCTTTGATCTCTTTTCTAAGAGTGTGGGAAAACAACCACAGTAACGTATACTGTCCAGTAAAAGTCAGCATATGAGACAGGCCAAGGAGAGGACTGTGGCATGGTGCCATTAGAGGTCACAACAACCTACTGCTGTTGCAGCAGACTTAGGGAAATAGCATTCCTGTTGGATAGGGAGCCTGATGCCAGTGCATCAAAAGAAATTCTTCAGATGAAGAAAAATTAAACAAACCCACTATTTTCTTAGCAAAGTATGTTGCTTTTACCCTACAAATTGCCTATTTCCTTACTCCACTCCAAAATATGATCCGAAAGTAATCACAGTTCCCAGCTTGTAATGGTTGTCAGGGGCTCTCAGTAATACCATGTCAAAAACTTCCCCAAACCTAAAAATAACTGACAGTTTTCTGTTTATCACCTTTGTTTGTCTGCCTTGGGTGTCTCACCAGCTTGTTGTCAGGTTCAAAGCTGTTTGGCACATGGACTGCCTCAGGCTTCGGTGTTCATCCCACACCCTCATCCTGTACTTTCTGCAGAGGGATATAGTAAATAAGAACGGAGCTCTTTATTTGAAAGGGACTCCCCTAACTGTGCTGATTACACTAAGTAGTGTCTATCAGGAAAACTATTTAAGTTCACTGTAAACAATCACTTGATGTCAGTCTTCTTAATGTTCCTGTGTCATTTTTAATCTTTTGTAAGGAAATGAGACTTATTTATTCCTTTTGACTGGTTGTTTCCTAAGAACATTTGAACTAGTTGACTGATATATTTAAAAAAGGATATGATAGATATTTACATTCTCCCAAGGAAAGTGGAAGGGGACTGATTGTTCACATTCTTTTCCAGTACATATGAAGGTCAGAGAAGCCATATTCAAAATCAGGAAAGGGAAGTGATTCAAAGTCCATATGGATCCAGGAGGATTCTGAGCTCATGGAATAGAAATCACCGAGGGTTGCCAGATATATAGAAGCATACCTGACACATGAAATTCCTGATTTGAAACTAATTAAATGGTAGAAGAAAATTTCACGGAAATATTATGTCTGTTTGCTTTTTTCTTATGCTCCTATTAGGCATCTGCTTAAGGCCACAGTTTAGAGTTGGGATTTGGAGACAGATGGACATTTTGTCAGACCCAGTACAGCCATTCTGAAGTTACTGGTGCATTTGTAAATCCAGACTAGCCAAAGCATTGCTGCTTCTTGGCCCTGGACGGGTCATGGTAAAGGAGTTTGGACCTTTATGGGTTAGAGACATGGAAAAATTAGGGGCAAAGGACAAAATCTAGAAGGAAGCAGTCTCAAAAATGTCCATAGTTGATATAATTATTTATGTGTAATCAGTGTGCTTCTACAGTTTAATCCATTTAATTTGTGTGTGTGTCTATGCTTGCATAACTTATATCATCTGGTTGCCGCAGCATTCACTGGCTAGTATAGGTATCAATGTAGGGTGTGCTTCCATGGGCATTTCTTTAAGCAACTACGGTGGTTTAATCGGACTCTGCCATGAATAAAGCCAGACTGAGGAACTGAACCCAAACTAAAAGTAACCCAGGAAAATAAAGAGCATCAGTTTTAACCTGGCTCTGTTCCTGCAGCCGGTTAACTGCTCAGCTGCACAAAAGCTTGTCTAAAAGCAAGCATTGGCAGCAATACTGGCTTTTGAGTGTCTGAAGCGTTTGTAAAACTGCAGTCTCAGGGAAGTGGGTACAAAACCACTGCCTTAATCTGTACTGTGTTTGTTCCCCGTCACGCTCTCTGTGCAAGGCATTTGCACACTGCATCAGAATTTGGTACATAACATGTCTTTGCAGCCGGTATATGGAGGTCGTTGTCCAGAGAAGATAGGAATATACAAGTTAAAGTGTTTATTCCTAATGTGAACCTTATTTCAGTTCCTCCAAGTAACTACTTCAGATGCTTTACATCACTTTGTTTTTCATTTCCATTAGAAGTGAGAACTTGTTCCTAATGTCATCTTCCTTTCTCCCCAGATAATCTGATCAAAGCCATCCTGTCAGCAACCAAAGATTACCGTCTAACTCCAGCTCTTGACAGGTAAGATGAGACCTTTTAGAATAGAAGGAGTAGCAGTGATTATATTCCACATGTCCTAAATAATTTTTGCTAGATATTTTTGCCAGAAATTATTGCCAATAAATTTGGCTGTGCTTTGGATATAGATCAGATGCTGGAAACCGAGTCCTCTTTCCAGTAAATCTGTAAACTCTAGAGACCTCTGTTAAGTCAAACATGAGTAGAAAAAAACATTTACCTTTTGACTACTTCCTAGTCTTTTGTTTCATGTGGTGTTACAATACGCCCTCCTGACTCTTTTTCAAATAAGTAAATAGCAGGTTTTCAATAAACACATTCTCTTTTAGGCTTTCTGACAAAGCAACAGGATCACAAGAATCTCTTAGAAGGAAAGAAGGGACTGACTTGTTATAACAATGTTTCACTAATACCTCACTCTTAAAGCAGGAATGTGTGATTGTGTTGGCCAAGCCTGTGCCAAGATGCAATAACAGTCTCTGGGGTTCTGTGGTTTTGGAATTGATGCCATTAAAAGAAGCTCCTTTGATTCTTCAGTGCTGTTGCAGAGATTGATTCTGAAACCCACTGGCATGTTTACGATCAGATTCCCAATGATAGTCCTTCAGTCTTTCCTGTCCTTACTTTTCTGTCATTCCTTCCCTTTGCCCTGCAGTTTTGGTTTAGAGCCACTCCTGGATTAGAGATAATTTCTTTCAGAAGCTCTCAGAGGTTTTTACTGGGACATGATCTCTTTTCAGAGTCCTGGTACTACTACTTTCCAAGCAGCTGGGCTAACAACACAGTTCCTGCTTTCTAAACATGTTGGTTTTCTTTCCTGGTCCAGCTGCCCTTCTGCTCACTTGTTCACAACAAAGTTCATAAGCTTTTCCAGCCTTTCCATAGATCACCACATCTCTCATGTTGATTGTAGAACTTGTCCTCGTGTAGTTAGAGTTTGGAGTTACTCTCTATGTAAAATCTTATTCTTCATTTTTAGCAGTCTGCGTGCTAATTTAGGTTGCTTTGAAGTTTGCCTTGCCTCACAGCAATGCCAGATAGGGTTAGCCTTCAGAGTTTGGATTAATTTGAGAAATGATGTCCAGAAGGCAAAATCATTTTACAAATGACCTTCTTAAAGATTTTGCACACAACTGAGTCTCGCCCATCTGGGGTTTATCTCAGCTCTGGTTGGAGAGTTGAGATTTTAATCTGTTGAAAAATCCACGTATAGACTCTTTCAGAAGGTTGCTCATGGGAAATTAGTATTAATGACAGAAGGCAGGTGGAAGATTCTTGCAGTGAAGATTAATGTAGTTGTGACCCTTGCTGCTCACCTGTTTTTTGAGGAGTGGAATGTTTCAGGTTTTTTAAAAGTCATTCCTCAGGAGGTTGTGAAACAGCCACTCTAGCATGAGCTTCTTACTTTGGTTTTATGTTCTTTATAATGGGTTTGGTGCAGAGATAGGAAAGACCTAACACTCAAGCCTTCATGAAACATATGCAAAATGCCTGAGATTTTTGTGATAAATCTAAAGCAGTGGATGTTGGTTGAGTAGTACCTAAGCCTCACAGTCAAGTACTTCCCAGAGCCCTTCCAAGTGAGCAGGTCTTAAGATAAAAATTGAAGCTGATGTGGGAGAAGGGGACAAGAAAGGCTTGGGATAGCAAGGTGCAAAGTGAAAGCCTAAAGCAGTAGGTAGCTGAAGTTGCAACAGAGGTTATTGTTAGAGAGAGCTTGGGTACTGTAAGAGGTGTTAAGGCTGCTGTGGTGCTGCTCTTGGAAACCTGCTTGGTGAGTAGGGCATAGATGAAGACTTAGATATGCTTCCAGAAATGTTCTTCAGCCATGACCATCGATGAATTACAGTGCTGGCAGCAATGACTATCTGCCATTTTGGATTCCAGAAATGCTGATGGAACTGACTGATGAGGGAAGGTTAGGTATTTTCTCATCTCGTCTCAAGCTCAAAGCAGAGCCCAACAGTTCCTCTCTGTGGCAGCTCCAATGTGCTGGGAGCAAGGGATCCTTGGGGATTGGCTCATTCCCCTACTCATCACTGGTCAAGGAGAAAGTCCAGACCTCTCCCCTTATCTCATCACCTTGGAGCAACTGGAGAGGGCTTGAGCTAAGGGACCTTTAAGGTCCCTTCCAACCCAAAACATTCTATGATTCTATAAGAGCTGAAAAAATGCCTTATTGTGAAAGAGTTAGGTAAGAGACACAGCTAAAGTCTGTGGTACAAGGGGTCAGACTTAGGAGATTTTGTGAACCCTTCCATTTGTAGGTTCTCAGAAGTCTAGTGGACTGATTCTAGCAGTAGGGAAAAGCTTCAGGCTCACATTCTCTTCAGGCTGGAGTTTACAATTTTCTCTGTTGCCAAAGCCAGTCTAAGGTGTATTTGCTGCTTTTGCCTGCTCTCAGACTGTAGCTCCCTACCTTCTCCTTGTGCTGCTGCTATTGTTTGAAGAGGGACTTTAAAGTGGGTCACTGAAAGGATTCCAGTTTAAAAGTTTTTCTCTTAACCCGGGTCATTCCAGTGACCTCATTTACAGAGTTCTCCTCCCACTGAAGAGTGTTGGCACGGCGCTGCAACAGCAGCACAAGAGGCAGAGGGCTGGGGATGGGTGGGGAGGGTGAGCGCTGCTGAGCCTATTGAAGCAAGTGTTCATGTAACCATGAACTGAATGCAGCTTTCCCAGGGGAAGGGTGGGAGAGACAGAAGAGGTGAGGTCAGAGCAGTGCGTGAGAGCATAGGAAGGAAAGAGGGGATTAGAAATGTATGGTGGGGGATCTACACCAAGCCTTTGGTCTTTGGCCCCACCCAAGCTTCTCCATTTCTGTCCTTCTTCACAAAGCTGTCCCTTGCCTCTCATAAACCCTGGAAATGAACTTGTTTGTTTAATTATACCTGTGCCAAAAGGGCATCCTGAAGCACCTTTCCTGACACAATGTACCAACATGGTGCTAAAATGAGGCAAACTCGATCCTTCCGGGTATGTGTACACCTTTCATCATCCCAAAGCAGCTTTGCCAGCTCGCTCTGACTAATCCTTCCATTGTGAGTAGAGCTATGTTAATAACTTGCAGCAGCTGAAGGGCATGTGAACAAATGCTACAGTTCACACCTATAATATAGCGTAAGTGATGCCGTGCTTTCTTAGTTTTCTTCATGACTCTTTATTATGGCACCTTTGCATTGATCTGTGTATAGTAACCTGTTTCTGCACCAGGGTAGGAGGTAGTTTGTGAAGGTAGCTGCAACTCAGCTTTGAGCTTTTCTGGATAAGACTGGAGAGATCTCTCTAGAATCAATGTCCTCTTCCTTCAGAGCTGGCACGCCTTTCTCCCCAACGCAGATAATCAGTGGGCCTTGTCTTTGACACTTAAGTGTTCTCTTTCCCTCTGGCTTTTCCAGGCTCATTTATATCATTGACATTTTCACTGCTTGTTTTAGTGGCTCCTCCATTAGCCTGTCCCTCATTCTGCGAATTGGTCATGACTCTTCTGCTGGCTGGACTTCAGTGGATTTTGGGTTAAATCTCTGGTGATGACCTGTAAATTTCCTCTGAAAAGACATAAATATAAAAACTTGACCAACTCTTTTGTATTGCCTCCAGGTAGTAATGAAGGAAAACAGAGTTTGAGCTCAGTCTTTACTAATACAGTATATAAACAAGTGAGGGAGGAATTTGATAGAGCAGGAGAGGAGATGTGTGTGTCCCTAAGGCTCAGGTTGACAGCACCAGTTTAAGTAGCAGCAGCCAGATCAAACCAAAATATGCTAAGCTTCCCTAAGTACCAGTTACACTAAACATGTATTTTTTAATTATTCTGTTATATTTCCTCAAAGCCTTTAGTTCCAACGTTGCGTAAAGGAAGGCTTTGTGGTTTTTCTCCCCTGACAATCCCTAAAGCACTTTGATAAGAGAGGGAGAGGAAGTAGCAATTGCTACAACACATACATGTGTTTACAGTGCTATATTGTTCAAGAAGATCTGTGTGAATCCCAGTTTTGATGTTGATGAACTCAACATCTGAACATCTGTGTCAAGAGGCTGTACACCTGGTTGCAGCTCCCAGCTTAGGGCTTTAGGGAAAGAAAGTCTGTCTGGTGTGGAAAGACCATGACCCTCTTTCATACCACCCTGGTAGCAAACTGGAACCTGGCCTGTGTCTGATGTGTGTGTTCAGTCCTTGAGCTCTTCTGGAAAAGAAATACAGCTTTTGACATACTGTGTAAACAAAGAAGTGTTTGCACACTTCTTTGTGGAGAAACAATTGAGCTGTAACTGATGCTGCTTGCATAGTGTGTTTCTTCAGCCAGAAACTTGCCTGGAGCCAGCAGTGACACTGCAGGTTTCCCATGCTCGGGCACCATCAGTTGGTGCTGGCTGTGAAGGAGCCCAGCTATGCTGGTCCCAAGTGTCCAGACTTCTGGTCGAGGTGTGAGGTCAGGTGCCTGATGTCCCTGCCAAATGCTTCTCTTTCACAGTGCCATCAGGGTGGCCCTGCAGTCTTCTCACTGTCCCACAGTGTGACTGCAAAACTGGTGAGACCGAGCCAGCTCACCTTTCTGCCTGGTTGCCATACAGTCCTGGCTGCCCAAACTCAGTGTACACGCCTGATGTGCAGAACCCAGGCAAAGTCCAAGACTCACCATATGTTCATCATGTGCACCTGAAGAAAGCAGTCTGCACCCGAGTACTGCCTTCTGAGTGTGCAAGAGAAACTTCCAGCTTTGCGACGAGTACTTTTGAAAGAAATTTAAGGAAAAGCTGCTAGAAGATCAAAGATTAGACCTTAGCATCAAAAAGATACTAATGCAAAATCTTATCTGTGAACTTAAGGAAAAAGGAGAACCCATTGGAATATGTCAAGACCATGAGGTGTAAGAGTGGTTCAGACATGAAGCTGGGAAAAGGTGATTAACCTATCAGTTATGATAAGTAAAGACAGAGCCATTCAGTTAAATATTGGTTTCATTTTGGGGGGTAAAGAGAAAATTATGTTGTCCCTTTTTACAGCAGCAATTAAATACTTTGTGTATTATTATTATTAACTGTGAGGACAGTTAAATAACAATTATATGTCTTTTTAAATCAGTAAACACTGAAGAGTATTTATAGAGTTAAAGATTAAGGAGTTAAAAAGTTTAAAAATCATTAAAAAATTAAAGAGTTAAATAACTCTTTTTGTTATTACTGTTTGCTTTTTAACCCTCCTTTGAATGGTAGATAAAATAACAAATGTTGTGCCATTCCTAGAGAAATATGGGAAGTGACAGAGAGGTGGATGTAAGTTGATTAGCTTGGGTTTGCAGGAAAAATCCTGGAAAGTTAGATATGGGCTAGAATGGCGGCATAATTGATGTGAGCTATCTTGGGTTTTGTGGAAATGAAATCTTGTCATGTAGAGGGTATCTTTTTTTTAGATTAACTAGAAACTATATTGATAAAGGTAACCTTTTAAAGAAAGGCATTCGTTATTTGTCTCAGTCCATTATATTCTGATTCTACTCAACACTGTTGTAGACATATCCTTTTTTAGGGATTTGATATGTCACACAGCTTTATAAAGTTACTGTCAGGGTTGAGAATTAATCCTTTAGTGACACTTCTAGTGTAATCCTGCTGGCAGGTGTTCGCAATGTTTAAAACCAATCTGGAGGAAATGTAAAATTACACTAGAAAAATTTACCAGAGCCAAAGACTGGGAAAATAAGGAGTAGGAGGGCTGGGTCGGTCTAGACCTTTTTTGTAGCGCCCTTCTCTGAACTCTCCTTTACTGGAGCCAAATCAAAAGTCAGGCCTCTCAGAGGTGACAATGAAGATCATGCTTACAAGATGAGGATTATACTCTGCAAACGAGTGACTGTAAAAAAGAGCACTGGAATGATGTATATAAAATCCCTGTGTAAAAGGGACCCTGCTTTGAGCAGCATTAGCTCCGCATGCTGGTCTTCTAGAGTCAGTGCTTCAGAGATCTGGGGAGAAGTTGAAAATGGTTCAGAGAGGTACTGCAAATATGACTCAAGATCTAGGAGAGCTGCCATACTGTAAGAGATGTGATGAGCTTGCTCCGGTTTGTATGGTCAGGAGAAAATTAAGAATGGGTTTTGATTAGTCTACCAGTACTGTGTGGGAACAGGGCCACGAAAAGGAGGCTGGTGGAACTGGTTCTTTTATCTCATGTGTAGCGGCTCATGCTCACCAGTCTGACCTGTGACTGATTATCCACCTAAATGCAGATGTTTACACACAGTGGTTTGTCAGTAAGTGGATCACATGCAGATGTGGAAGGGACTGCTGACAGTAGATGGTGCTTTAATTTAGCAGAAAAGGGAAGAATGCGATTAAGTGGTTTGAGGCTGAAACAAACACATCTGTATTCAAACTTGGTAAGAGTTAGCATCCTAACAGTGAGTGGGGAAAGAGATTGAGGGGAGTATCTATAGCTTGCAGCCTTTGGATTTCAGCATGGTGTCCTTCTCCAAAACATAAAATTAAGAAAAGTCATCGCTCAGAGACAACTGGATAGAGAAATTACAGAATTTCACCCGGCAGGCTGTTGTTTAGGAGGTCAAACTTTCTTATCATAATGATCAAAAGAGCATATTTGCATCTGAAATTTCACTTGGCCAGAACTGAATTGTCTTTTTTCCCTCCTGTTGCACCTTTTTCTTAAAGGTTTTGACAAAGCTGTTACCATCTTTCTCACTCAGTTGGGTGTACGTGGAGCTGACTCCCTTCCCTGAACCAGATCTTGCCTCTGCTTTCTCCTTGTTGCTAGAACTGTATTTTATTTCTGTGCCATTGTCTATAAAGTTCTTTCACTATTGTGATTTGTTTACCACAAACATCCACACTTTGGCCCTTAGGGACATGAACACTGGGCTAATATGTCCATCTTTTTGAGGAGGCTATTTCTTTTGGAAAGGATGGGATCTGCAGTGAAACTTTATCTGGGCTGGGGAAGCTGTTCCTGAGCAATTCTTGGTGCTGTTAATTCTGAGCATATCTCCAGCTAATGTGGCTCTGTCAGCAGGGTAACCCTCCGTGGTTTAGCTGAGTCTTTAAGTGCGCTCCAACCCTGCTCTGCAAAGACGGACCTCACATAAGTAGAGCTTTCCTCACACTGGCTCTTTAGACTGATCACAGTGAGAACAGTCTTAGAAGAGACAAATCGGCTGTGCCTGAGACTAAGAAGGCCTTCTAGCTCAGAGATCTGCTCCAAACAACTGATTGCCTTGGACCCTTTCCGAAAAAGGCTCTGCAGACACGTATTCCTTCAGTGAACTACCAGAGATGGAGGCACGTTGCCAGAAGAGCCAGCTGCGTTTGGGATTAGATGGCTGGAAAGATGTCCTCTCTCTGTCTTCAAAACGAAATCACTTTTAAACATCTGCTGCAGGGTTCTCGTGACTTGCAGTTCCACGAAAAACTGTTCTCTTCCTTCTCTTTCCTGTTTCTTTGTTAATCAAGGTTATTTTCCTTCCCCTTCCTCACCCATTGTATCTCCATATATGTTTCCTACTGGACAGGAGTGGGGGGACGGTCCTTTTTCTATCCATTTAGTGTTTTTCTGTCTTATGAAGCCTTACGATAACTGCAGCAATTTTGCACTCAGCAAGGTGAGCACACTCCAGATAACCTGGCAAGATCTGCCTGCACTCGGAAAATTACTTGGAGAGAAGACTTCCTCACTAAGCCTTTGGTTTATTGTTATTTCAGTGCTAAATGAATAATGAGAAGGTTTAAGTAAACAGATGGGTTTGATTCAAGCCCATCATACCAGGGGTGTGGGAGGAGAGGAGCTGCTTGTCCTGACAGCTCATCTCATTAGGCCACACGTGGTATGAGGTGTTGAAAGCAGTTTATCACGTGTAATGCCTGGGCATGATGGGGTGAGCTGGGGATCAAGTGTATCTCTGCTCTCCCCTTAATTCTTAATATTCCAAAAGGTTTCCTGTAGTTCTCAGGGGCAAACTAAATATGTGCAGCTTGGTGTGTTTGAAGTTATGTTGCAAATATTACCTCTTTCCTCTGTTTCTTTCACAGTCTCAGCTGCCGGCGATGTATTATTGTGGGAAACGGTGGAGTACTTGCAAATAAGTCATTGGGGTTAAAGATTGATGACTATGATGTTGTTGTCAGGTGAGTCTTTGACATCACAGTTTTCTTGTCATATATTCAGTTTCTGTATCAGTTCACATGCTATGCAGGCAAACATTAAAACTACAATAGTGACAATATCCATTGTGTGGAAGCATTAACTAATATGGAGGGGAGAAGCAAACCAAAAGCATATAAACATTTGTTATGGATGGTGATTGCATCAAAGAGTAAAGGCACTCCTCATGCATTCTATTTTCCAGTGCTGTTTGGGAATGTGGTCCCTCCTGTGATGCCACTTGAACCTTCTCTTCATAGCTCCTTTCTAAAAGCTGCTGCTTTTGTGATGCCCTTCTGTGGTGAAGCAGTAAAACACTGTTGGGTCTACTTCCAGATATATCCCCTAGGTAGCTTATGGAAGTATTATTGTTCATACGTGTGTAGTATTCCCTGGGACCTACACTTCACAGTTAGGATGGGAAGAACTAAGAATGGTGCAGCATGTGGTCTTAGGAGGCAGTAAGCCTCCATGAGTTAGGACTCAGTAATGATTAAACACCCATAGGTGCACCCTAGAAACTGCGAATGCTTTGCCTCTGTTTCACTGCAGATCATGATGTTGAATAAGGGAGCAGAAGCAGAGTGGTACAGGAGTGGAAAGGACCACAAAGCTAGGACTTCTTGTTTTTGCTGAGGACCCAGATCATCACCATCTCCGAATGATTGAAAAACGTGTTGATATGTGAAATCACAGGTCTAGTCGTAACTTTTAGTAATAAATCTGTCAAGTCAGGGAGGTGTTCTGGGTGACTGGAGATTAACAAACATAGTACCTATACTAATGGAGAGTGAGAGAGAGATTGTGTGTAGGAGGGAGGGGGGACATGCTCTAGGGAGCTACAGACCCATTAGTCTGACTTGAAAAAAATGCAGAGCTTTATAGCAGGTTCTGAATTGTGAGTTACAAAATATTACAATGGTAAATAGGAGAAGTGGGATAAACCACAGTATAAGTTTATAAAAACTGGTTTAGCATAGTCTAAGTTAGTAATTTTTTTTCATTAGTAAGATAAGTGATTTCGTACTACAGGGAATGTAGCTGATATCATCTCTCTGAACTTTAGTCAGCCATGAGACGTGGTGGCAAATAGCAAATTCTTAGCTAAGGTGGAAAAAAAGGGATTAGTAAAAGAATTTAAGGCACAATGAAGGTATCACTTAGCATGGTCTCCTTTTTCTCCCACATACTAGTAATGAGCACATGAGGAAAGAATAGAACATACAGAGTAATAAATACCCTCTAACTCGGGACAAAAAGACCAAGAAGATCCCTTTCAGTCTTTTGTTTCTGTGAATGGTTCCCTGCTTCCCCAGCAGTGCTCTGGACACAGGGATGACTGTTCAGAACAGGATAAAACTTTTACAGCCCTTCTAGTTCATCCCACTATCAGCTGTTAGCAAAGAGCTCTTACTACTCGTCATAGTCTGGTGACTTGCAGTTAGTTATCTGAGCTGAATTAAAATTCAGTTATAGCCTTTTCTTGGGCTCAGACTGCTCAAAAAGTAGCAAGAGAACAGTTTCAATCCATCTGGACTAAGCCACCCACTAAGATTTACATCAGAAAGTCCACTATTTAATTTCCAAATGAAAAGTTCAACCTTTTCTCTCCACATCAGTAAATCTAAGTCAGTTTGCAAGCTGAGAGGATAAGAGGGCAGCTAAACACCTGTGCTGTTTGTGGAATGGATAAAGGAGAGAAAAGTCAACCATAAAGGTTAAATGAAGCCAGGTGCTTGGATGTGGGACTGAGGAGGTGAGAGAAGACTTCTTAAATATATTCAACTGCTTCCTATACTCCTGCGGAAGCTGGGGAAGTCCCCTGTGTTATAGCATCCTTTTTCATGGGTTGCAAAACTCTTTGAAGGATCGTATTTGGGACCTAGGAGGTGAATTTTAAGGGGAAAAATGTAGTAAATTTGTGGACAAAGGAGTGATCCAACAGTATGTGGAGTTTTTTGATGCCTCATGTTACCATGTGAGGATCACTAATTGCACCAAGAAATTTTGATCTTGTGATGAAGAGATTCAGATCAGTTTTGTCAGTTCTAAACCAGCTTGGACTGAGTTAGTTACTGTTTTCCTTTAACTGGATATTATCAGATTTCAGCGCAGACGTTATTCCCAGCTGTCACACTGTTTACCTGGCAGGAGCTTCTTGCAGCAGTCAGTCATGGGTGCTCTGAAATGCCTCCTTAGAATAGATTGCAGATAAGGGCAAAACAAGCATGTATCAGAATTCCTGGTTAGATGAGATAGGGATTCACCTGATTATGATACTTCAGTGATATCTGAGAGGATCTTCGTGATGGCAAGATTAGGAGTTAGTGTCTCTAAGGTCCGTATGTTGTTGGTGGACACAGACAGAAAAACTCTGAAAATTCTGATGGAGAAAGCTGCCAGACCATGGGCAGTACGAGGAGGCCTGGCACCCTAACTGAGGTTTTCTAAGTTAGCTGTGTTTATAACCACGAGCATGTCCTGCCTGAGAAAGGGTTCAAGCTGTGTAGTTCGCACCTTCATGACCACAGGCTGTGGCTGCCAGAACTTTTCCTGCTCCGTTGCCTGTGCTGCCCCTGGGGCAGTGACCATGGGGCTGACAGTGCTGGCTGGTTAGCAGGACTCCATCACTATGACTCTGTCAGCAGCTCACACTCTGGACCTTTGCTGGAGACTGGAGTTCGTTTTACTTGGGGAAACGGTTTGTTTTGTTTCCTGTCTAGATACAAAGTAGGGGTCCCAAGTTTTGGGAGCTTTAACAAGTTAAGCAGCAAAACAGTGAACCCAGCAGCTGGGGGTGGGGAAAATCCACCTGAAGAGCTACACTTTAGAGCTATACCTTTTAAATGACTGCAGACACTAACCTTCCCCTCAGCTTCAAGAAGACAGATGAAAATATGTATAGCTAGCTTTCTTTACATAGTACTTTGTTGTATTTATTAAAATTTATTTATTTATTTATTTATTTACCTTTAGAGCCACATGCTTTTATATCATGTAGGGTCATCTACCCCAAGGAGACACAATGCCTTGAAGTTTAAATAATGCCCATAGTAAAAGCGAGTGATGTGTGAACACACTGTCAGCAACAAAGCAAGGAATTGGACTGGCTGGGAGCACTGTTTTTGCAGGCAGTCAGGTCTAAATACCTCAAAGTCAAGGTACAAAACAAGGATTTATAAAGCCCAAAAAAAGGCTTCATCTCCTGTATAAATTGTGGTGGTGCCAATTCTTATTTTCCCTTTAATATTTTCTTCCTAATGATGAAGTATTTTTACTAAAAATACAGAGGAATTTATTCTTCTTAATTCTGAATAAAATTTCAGATGGTATACAGGGATTTTTTTCTACTAAAAGGTTTCCCACCTAAAATGCTTACCCGGGCTGAAAAAGACAAATCCAGATCCTCATTAACATTCCTACACGGCAAAATTTGCAGTCCATAAGCACTTTCCAGTATATTGAACTACCCCAAGTCAAGAAGGCTGCAATAATTCAGGCAGGCAATGCTGTTCCATCAGGGGCTGCTGTTTGATGTCAGCAAGATTTGTATTCCAAGTTACTTTAAATTTCCTCAGCTTTGGGTTTCTAGTTTTGAATAGAAGTTCTGAATAACTTTAATGTCATAAAAGCAATCATTGCTGTTAATGCCAGAGCAGTTTGGTTTTTGAAGGGAAGAAACTTTGTCTCTGAAGGGTGTTTGAAGAAAAGCACAGCTAAATACATAGCATTCCCTTAAAAACCGGCATACCCAGGAGCAAAGTTTTGTGTCTGCTTGAGCGTTTTCAGAGTGGGATGGACTTCCACAGCAGAAACTCCTCTGAGTCAGTGAGACCGCTGTGCTGTTGAGCCTTACCCTGGCTGCGCAGCCCAACCTTTCCCTCTGCACTGGCACTGCAGGACAGGCCACCTCTGGATGGGCCAGTTTGGGGAGTTAAACCAGGTGGAAAAAGTTTCTTTGGGGTTTTTTTAAATTTTAGCTGACTTAGTTCCCTAAACAATCTCACTGCAGGTAAGATGAGTAGTGTAAGCTCTGCACTGGAGTTGGAGCATGAGACCAGTTTCAGTTCACTTAAACTGCCATGAAGCTGCATCCTCTGTTTCAGCACAGTCTTGCAGAATCCAAGTAAGATATCCCAGGAGCAATGGGATGTTAAAATATTAATGTTTAGTTTGTAACTCTAAATTTGCAAGGACAATATTTTTCAGTTTCATTTTCTAAAGCTTCCAACCCAATTTAAATCACAAGAGTGGATACACAGAAATGGGTTGCATTATAAATATTCAATGAAATCATTTAAATAGCATTTAATTAACCTGTTGTCCCTTGGTATAAAGCTTCATAAATGTTTGTGATGAAGAACTGCAAGAGTTAATGTTTGCTGCTGTAACAACTGCGTACAGGGAGCTCACTTTATTGTCGACATACAGGAGTGTAAGTGGGAATCCATGACAGTGTTTTCTCTGGTTGCCCTGCAGGCTGAACTCGGCTCCAGTGAAGGGCTTTGAAAAAGATGTGGGTGGCAAGACAACTCTCCGGATCACATATCCTGAAGGTGCAATCCAGAAAATGGAGCAGTATGAGAAGGATTCCCTGTTTGTTCTGGCAGGATTCAAATGGCAGGATTTCAAGTGGCTGAAATACATTGTTTACAAAGAGAAAGTGGTAAGAACTGTCAACTGATATTGTGAAGGTCACCTAATTAGAAACGGTAGGCAAACATGGTATCACAGTCATATTTGACATGTTTTGGTCTGAGGAGAATTCCTGTGTGTGTCCTGCTGCATATAGAACACACAGAGGCTTTTTTTACCTTCATGGACTTCAGCTTTAATTACACAGGTTTTACAAAGACATCTCTCTGTAACCTGACCTTGCATCACAGATGAGGCTTTCTGTTCAAGATTATGTTAATGTGTACTATGAACAATAATCATTTTTATTTATTTTAAAGAGTATGTAAAGAACCAGATTTTGCCTGGATTTTATGGACTCTTAAGACTTCAGAGCAGAGGAAGGAAAAATACAATGGCAAGGGGATGAAATGGGAGTTTTGGGGATAAGGATGTGATGGCTCAGGAGGGGAGGAGGAGACAGCAGCAGCACAGCTTCTTGAAAGGGCTACATACAGTCCACAGACTTAATGTGACTTCCTGAATAGCACAAGCCATTGTATTTTGCTCAGTTATTGCTGTACTGAGATTCACAGTTTGTGTTTGGCTAAAGTGTCACCCAGAAGGACAGTATCGAGTCTAATTTGAAAACACTGAAATGGTGAATCTACTGCTTTCCCCATGTAAATATTTTGTCCCAATCAGTGCCTTTCTGAAGTACCATGGATCTGTTACTAGTCAGGAATGTTCTCTGTAATTCCCCCAATCCTAAATGGAATCAGGTTGTAATCATTGACTTCTCTTTCAGTGAATGGTTTGTCTTTATCTGTTGTCATGAAATCCAGAATAAATGCCCTTTATTTGGGTATGGTTCTTGTTTTACAAATCTGTTTTCAAATGTTCCTAACAATTTTTCAACAAATAACCAGACAAATGGATTAATGTTGAGAGGATGGGATGTTATATTGCGTGTTTAGAGACACAAAGAGGAGATTGTCAGCTCACCATATACAGAATGAAATAGTCTGGGAATATAGTTTTATAGGGTTGTTACACAGGTGGCCTTAAGGGCTCATACTTTGCTCTTGTTTCACACTGGCACCACCTTCCAAGTATTTTCCTAGTACCAGACAGATGAAGTTACCTGTTGAGCCTCTGGGCAAGCACAAGTGGGCTTTCATAACATGAATAACTGAGTCAAAAGTTATTTTCTTTGGTTTATGGCATGCTTGTTTTCTTCATTTTGGGCAAGGGAAAGCCCTGGCAGCATCAGTGCCCTGCAACCTGAACACAGTTTTAGGGACTCTTAGTGTTTAGCATGAAGTTCAAAGGATGGGTTGGTCTACTTCAAAACAAATTGAATTTCCACCTGATGCTTATAGTCATGCAGTCATCACTAATGTGGTATCCCCTGCTCTTGGAAGGATGCAGCAAATAGTTTGTTAAAACTTGCTAAAAGACTTGGGAGAGCAATTGCAGTAATCTTAACTGAGTGCTTCAGTGCCCAGCTTGGCAGAGAGCAGAAAGAACTTGAGCTTCTTGCATTGCATGTTACTTCAATGCTCTTGCGGTTGGCTCCTTATCCTTCATTTCTTTGGAATAAACACTTCGGTTTTTTCAGTTCTTGTAGGTGATGTTTTCCAGATCTCTTAATTCCTGTTGCTCTTTTGAATGCCTGCAGTTGATTCATCTTTTTCTTAAAGAGCAGTGCCCAAAAATGTACGAAGTACAGCAAATAGAAAGGAGCAAACAGCTGCTTCACTAGCCTTGCGGTTCTCGTTCTTTTTACATCTGCTCTTTTGACTGCCTTTTCCACAGTGGCATGGGACTGAAGATGAGGGTCCAGTTCTTTGAGACTCCAGGTCTCAGGAAGAGCTGAAGAGCAATGACTTCCCCAGCTCTGCACCTTTGTGTTTGTGCTGTTGGCTCTTCCTGCCAGCGAGCAGCATCATGCACTTGTCCCTACCGATTCTTTCTTCCAGAGCACTTCTCCAGTTTGCCAGTTTTTTTTTTTGGCAGAGCTTTCCAGCATACCTGCCATTTTTTTCCAGATTCATGTCCTCTGCAATTTAGTAAACATACTTTTTACTCCATCATCCAGGTTGATAATGAAAACACAAAACAAAATTAGTTCCTAGGCAGACTCCAAAGTAATAACATCCTTCCATTTCTACAGTGAGCCCACTAGAACTCCTCCTGGATAGTTTTTGGCCACTTCTCAACTTGTATCACAGTAGTATCATTAATAACATTTTTTGGCATGTTTGTGAAGGACGTACGTCAGAAGCCTTACTGAATTCTAGTTCATGTCTTGCTTATCCCCTATGATAATTTTCTTCCTGTATAAAGAATTTTTTTTTTCCCTAATAATGAATTGCTCTTGACAAATCCACCTGTGTCTCTACTCGGTCTTTGCTATTTTTTTCAGTGCTTATCAATAATGAATTTTTCAGTCCTTTGACACCCTACCTGTTCTAGACAAATTCTGAAAGGGAATCACTGCTGTTTTTTGAGGCTGCTGAGCCAGTTCATTGAATACTTTAGGAGACAGTCCAGGTGACTGGAAAACATCTGTCTTGTCCTCTCTGGTCTGATCTCTCTCTATTTGAGGCTGAGATCTTGCTGTCACTGGCTTTAGCTACAAGCAGATGGCTAGCACAGCTGCTTTTTCTAGTGGAAACCAATGCAAAAAGTGCTGTCTCTTAGCTAGAAGAAATGACCCGGTGGAGAACTAAAAGTGCTATGGGAATAAGACGTAGGCGTCTGTTTGTTCTGGTAGTGAGTGTTAGTATTTTTATCAGCATGTGGTAGGTTCAAAATGACAAATGCCTGCCCAGTACTGTCTTTGGAGAGTTTCTGTTTCTCTCTCAGCTGATTTTCCAGAGAAAAGGGAGTTTTTTCTTTTCCTGGATTCATATAGATGCATTTGCTTGACTTAGGAGCTCTTTATGCCACTGTTGGTTATTCCTTAGCTGACGTTAGGCCTGTCCCTCTGTCATACCTCATCCACACTGCAAACCAGTAGTTAGTCAGGAGTCTGACCTCAGGATAGAGATAAGGGAAATGGAAGTATCCTGCTAAAGAACATGACTGCTGTGGAAGTGGACACATTCCTCAAAAAAATGGGCCAAACTCTGCCCTTTGATGATTCCTTTGCTTTGAATGTTGATGGCAGCTGCATATGTCCAGGCTAGTGTCACAGGGGGGGTATAAGACTTTCTGAATTCCTTCAGACACCAAACATGGAGCTGCTTGCACCTGCTTGATGAGAGGTTGTGGGCTAGGTACTAGGATCCGTACTTAATCATCTCTTGAATAAGTGAAATCAAAGGGAGTTTTTCTGAGAAAGAGTAAATGAAAGGCGAATGGCTGTTTATTGCTGGAGTCAGTGGTCAGATAAGCTTATTCTCCCTGCAGCTGAGAGGGATTTGCTCTGTGTTATGTTAGTCTTTTGGCAGCACTTGCATACTAAGGAAGGGATAAGTGCTTTGTGGAGAGGAGGATTTTTAGGATTATTACAAGGAAGAAGAATCAGTGTGATGCAGAAGCAGCAACAGAACGGTGAGGCAGAAGATTTGATATGTCGGGTGCAACAGCCTTCCGGAGATCTGTGTGATGCCTCAGTGCCCTGGGCGGCACTATATCCAGAAAGAGGAACAGTAGAATGTAGACCAAAGAAAAAGTAAAAGCTTGTCTGCTTTTTATTTCATTAAACCAGAAATACCTGGAAGCAAATAAAAACTTGAGAGAAAAGATTAATCTAGAAAAAGAATAGGTTTGGCTGTGACGATATTCAACATCAGCAGAAAAACAAAGGCAGTCTCCATCATAGAGTTCTGGGTGAGCTAGCACTCAAAATTGCAAGTCTTGTAGCAAGTTAGGGCAGTACTGTATGACTGGAGAGTATAGATCTGTCTTTAAGAAGGGGAAAGGTGGGTAAACCTGAGCCACTAAAACCCTGATAATCTGATTTCAGTCATTTGACAAGCATTACCATAAACTGAAGGAGAAAATAATTGCGCTTGTTGCAAGTAAATGAGGGAAAGTGAGTGTGGTATGGAGAAAGGTAACGTGGTTAGCAGAGGGGAGTATTGCACTATGCTGACCTAGTATGTCATTGTACAAGTGGAAAGGAAGTGGGTTGGAGTCCCACAGCCTTCAGCCGCCTGAAGCCGTGATTATTGCAGCCGGGTCACAGATGTGAACTGTTTGTGCATCTGTGGTGGCTGCTCTGGCAGTGCTGACTTGCAGTTGTTGCTGCAAGAGCCTGCTGACACTCCCAGGCACCCCCCCTCTGATTAAACGGCTGTTATTAGTGCATCCCCAGAGGTGGATTACTCATGGACCGTCACTCAGAACAGTTACACTCTCTCCTGTACTGTTCATTTTGCCAAGAAACATTACACATACATATTGTGACCCACCTCGCCTGCTTCCCACTGTTGTAGTGTCCTGCATCACCCCAGGTCTTCTAGTGACAGAAGCTCTTCTGAACACCCAGAGTACCAAAGGAATTGGGGGGGGGGAAGGTGGTTTGGCCATGTACTGCTCTATTAAAATAATGGTCAAAAGCTGAAGGTTTCTCTGTTGTGTGGAGAGTAGATGCTTCCCAAAACAGAGGAATTTACAAGCGCTAGTTATGCAAACCAGCCATCAAAGCCCAGTGATGAGGCTGATTCCAGGGTGGTTTTTTTGCCTGTCATTAGTGAATCAGAAGGAGCTCACTTGCTTGCTAGGGCTCACTTCCCTGAACATCTGGCACATGGTGGTAAAGCAGCCAAGTGAGGGCAAAGGTTTCACTAGAAATTGGCAGCTCACAAGCTTCCTTCTCATGTAGTAATGAGCCTGTGGATGCTTCCAGCAGGAATCTCTGCAGCCTTTGCCAGGAGGAGTCACTTGTGCAGTAAGTGCCTGCGGCACCTTGAAGCTCTTCTCATAGCAAAAGTCACAGGAGCGAGTGAGCACCTGCCTGCGAGCGAGGCCAAGTTTGGTTGTCTGTCCCTTGCAGGGACATGCTTCTGACAACTTGCACACAGCAACGATGCCATCTGA